TGTTTGTTTGTTTGATTATTTCTTTGTTTAAAAGATCTGTCTGCTTTGAAATTATGAGAAAGTGATGTTTTTCAAGAAAATCAAAGTTGAAGACAGCTTTTTGGTGATAGGAAATGGAGAAGAGTACCTATGGCTACTCTGTTTCTTTTATCTCTAAGTTCTATTGGGTCTTGTCTTTGAGCAGATAAACATACTTAAATCTCTGCAGTCTTGAAAGCAACCAAAACGTGTGTGTGTGTGTGTGTGTGTGTGTGAGAGAGAGAGAGAGAGAGAGTATGATGAATGAGACATAGTGAAGTAAAGAAATAAAGAGCAAAATCTAGAAGCACATGGCAGGATAGACTTTATTTTGAATAGTTGTCAAAGAATCTCAATGATATTTTAACGTTCTTTCACCTAGCTAGCTCAGGTGTTAGAAGACATTACAGGGATAATCGTTTTCAGCCTTTGTTTAAAGATGGAGTCATAGATCTTAGAACATTTCTACCCCCATACTCCCTCAGTCCTCAGTCAGTCTGTATCCCTGATTTACTTTTCCAACTTCTTAAATAAAAACTTAAATTTAAGGCCTTTTTTTGTAACCCGTCATTAAATATGAGTGAAAATACTGGATGATTGTTACTGATTCATTGTAAATATACACATAAAACTGTTCATGTCAGAACTTGTATGAACAGAAATTTTTAAAGAGAACAGTTTGGTCAAAACTGTTGTATTGCTAAATAAAGTTTTCTAATACTGATAATTTGGGTGCTATTACTGTGATTTTGTAGTTATGTAGATAGTTCTAACCCTGCATTGTTGCTGAACCATTTCCAAAAGTAGCAAATGGTCTCAATCACTAACGTATGGAAGAAAGTTCAAGATGCACTTGAAAGCATTGTAAAAAAAAAAAGGTCCTAGGAATTGATGGAATAACAATTGAGGTGCTTTAACAAACAGATACAGTCCTGATTGTACTCAGTCACCTGTGCTAGAAAACTTGAAAGGCAGCTACCTGGACAAACCACTGGAGATTCCTATTTGTTCTCATTCTAAAAATTGGTTAATCAATACAGTGAAGAAATTATTGAACATTAAATTGAGTACCACTTGCAAGTAAAATCTTGCTGAAGACTAAAAAACAATTGGAATAGTACATTCACAGAGAACTGCTGGAAATTTCAGCTGGTTTTGTAAGAGGTACTTGAGTGAGGGCTATTATTGCTGATGTCAGATGGATCCTAGCTGAAAACTGAGAATATAGAAAAAAGATTTACTTGTATCCAAGGAGAGGGTGGAAGCAGAGGGATGAGGATGTGTGGGGCGGGGGTGTTTGTGAATAATCATGGAGTTGTACAATTTGATGGAGAAGGTGAGGAAAATTGGAAGAATCTAGTCTGAAAAAGAATGTATTCAAATTTGTAAATAAATTAGTATAAATAAATAAAAATTTACCTTTGTTTTATTGAGTGCATATGACTTTGCATATGGTCACAATAAATTATGGAAAACATTGAGAAGAATACAATAGAATTCCAGAACACTTTTTGTATGTATGCAAAATCTGTACATAGACAAGAATGGGTTATTCAAACAGAACAAGAAATGACACATGGTTTAAAATCAGGAAAGGTGTGTATCAACGTTGTATCTTTTTCCCATCCTTTTTCATTCTTTGTGGTGAGCAGATAATTTGAGAAGGTATTATGTGGGGGAAAAGTGCCCTTAACATTGAAGGAAGATGACTCAACAACCGTCTTGTGCAGATAATACAACCTTGCTTACAGAAAGTGAAGGCCTCTTGAAGTATTTCTTGAAGATCAAAAACTACAGCCTTCAGTATGCATTATTGCTTATTGCTTAGCATAAAAACAAAAATTCTTACAACTGGGCCAGTAGACAACATCATGATAGATGAAAAGATTAAAGTTGTCAGCAATCTAATATTACCTGGATTCACAATCAACACCCATGGTAGCAGAAGTCAAGAAATAAAAAGATGTGTAGTATTAGGCAAATCTGCTATGAAGGACCTCTTGAAAGTGCTGAAGAGTAAAGATGTCAGTTTTTAAGACAAAGGTGTTCTTGACCCAAACCTTGGTATTTTTTTCAAGTGCATTTATATGCATGTGAAAGTTGAATAATGAAGAAGACATAAGCCTTTAAATTATATTGGATAAGAGTCTTGAATATCGCATAAGCTATCTGAAGAACAAACAAATGTGTTTTAGAGGAAGTGCAACCAAGATTTTCCTAGGGGCAAGGATGGTAGAACTCTGTTTCACATATGTTGAGCTTGTTGTCAGGAGGCACCAGTTCTTGGGAAAGGACATCATGTGGGGGAAAGTAGGTCAGTAAAAGAGAAGAAAGACCCTTAGTGAAATGGACTTTGATAAATGTTGATAGTTGTAGAGGGGCTTCAGGCCTTTTCTTCAGTGTTGATATGAGTTGTGCTTGACTTGAAGGCAATCAGCAACAGGGACTGCAAATGACCTTGAGTATGGCAGAAGTTGTAAAGATGGCATAGAATAGGGCAGGGTCTTGATCTGTTGTTCGTGGGATCACTAGACATCTTAGTTGGCAAGATGACACCTAACAATAACAGTCTCCTACATTGTTAGTCATTAGAGTTGTTAGCTATTGACATGGTTCTGAGTTTTTCTTTTCACAATACAGAATAGCAGGGAAAATAGTCTGAAAATACAAAAGGAAAAAACTGGAAGAGCAGGAAATGTAAAAGTGGAATTTTTTTTTAAAATCCTTGCTCCACAACAAGATAAAGGTAAATAATCCATTTGAAAAATGGGCACAGGAGATGAACAGACGATTCACCAATGAAGACATTCAGATGGCTAACAAACACAAGAAGAAATGTTCAAAATCCCTAGCTCTGAGATGTAAATGAAAACAACCATGAGATTATCATCTCACTCCAGTAAGAATAGCAAAATTTAACAGAACAGCAAACATCAAATACTGGCAAGGTTGTGGAGAAACTGGAACCCTTATTCACTGCTGGTAGGAATGTAAAATGGTGAAACCACTATGGAAGGCAGTACGGCAGTTTCTCAAAAAGTTGAAAATAGAAATACCATTTTGACCCAGCCGTTCCACTGCTGGGAATTTACCCTTAAAGAAACCATCACCACTACCCAAGTAGATATATGCACACCCATGTTTATTGCTGCTTTGTTTGCAATAGCAAAGAGCTGGAAACAACCCAAGTGTCCATCAACAAACGAATGGATAGAGAAGCTCTGGTATATTCACACAGTGGAATACTATGCTGCATTGAAAAACAAGGAACTCATTAAGTATTATAAAAAATGGATGACCCTGAAGGACATTATGCTGTGTGAAATATCACAGTCACAAAAGGATAAATATTGCATGGTGCCACTGCTGTAAAACAGGTCTGACATGGTTAAGGGAAGACAGAAAAGGAGAAGAGGAATGATGTATATTGCTTTGAAACAGATGAGGGAGAGATCTTTTTAAAAGGAATATATGAATGAGTATTCGCGTTATTACAGAAGTCCAGACTGAAGGCTGCATAGTGGAGTGAACTTGGGGGGGAGGGATTGCATAACAAGGAAAGAGTTTTTCTTTTGCTTATCAAGGAGAATATTTGGGGGGAAGGGGTGGGCAGGGAGAGAAGTGCAACAGTGAATGACTGGAAATCCTAAGTCTGTAAACTTTCATTAAAATTAATAAATTTAAAAATTCCTTTAAAAAATGGTATTTCTAAATTACTAACTAGTGGGTAGGGAGTTGTGTTGTCAACCCAAAAGTATTTGGCTATTTCATCTCTATCAATAAAAATTTATTTTCACAATGATAAAAAATTTTTAATGTCCTTACCAGGAAAATAAGGAACTGGTGGTACAGTGAGTAAAACAACCCAGCTACTAGCCAAAAGGTTGGTGTTTCAAACGCACCAGTTGTTCCCCCTAGAGAAAGATGTGGCAGTCTGCTTCCATAAAGTTTAAAACCTTAGGAACCATATGAGACAGTTCTTATTACTCTGTTCTATTAGGGTCAGTATGAATTGGAATCCAGTGGCTGTGAGCTTGGGGTTTTGTTTATTAATAAAGTAACGAAACACCTTAACATTCAAACTTCTGTAGTGGTAAACTATTGTTATTTTTAGGGGGTTGGGGGTGTGTGTGAGAGAGAGAGACATTTAAGGTGAAAAGAAATATACATTTTCTAAGCTCTGCCAAAAAATGTTTTGCTTACAAAAAAAGACTTAATCTGGAGAAAACTTTCAATTTTATGAGACAATTCATTCCTTTAATCTCAATAAAAAACATGTTTCTATATTAGGGACCTCTCTAAAGTACTCAAGAGCAACAGTGTCTCTCTGGAGACTAAGGTGCGCCTGATGCAGGCCATGGTCTTTGCAATCGCTTGTTATGTATCAGAGAGTTGGACAATGACTAGGGAGGACAGAAGGAGAGTGGATGCCTTTGAGCTGTGGTGCTGGAGAAGAGTACTGAATGTGCCATGGACTGCCAGGAAAACAAACAGATTCATCTTGGAGTGGATTAAACCAAGCAACTCCTTGGAGGCAAGGATTCTGGGGCTTCATCTGACATACTTTGGACATGTTGCCAGGAGGGACGGGTGGGACATCATGCTTGGGAGGGTGGAGGGATGGCGCAGGAGGGGAAGACCCTCTATGAGATGGATTGATTCGGTGACTGGGGTAATCAGGATGGGTGTGTCAGAGGCAGTGCGGTTGGCACAGGATAGAGCAGGGTTTAGGCCTGTTGTGCATAGGGTCGCTATGAGACGCAAATGACTCGACGGCACATAATAACAACAACACATGCAACTTAACAAAAAATTACTCTCTTCTGCACTTTATATATTGAATGCCTCTGTATCCAGCAAATGACCAGAAAGGAAAAAATCCTGCTTTTCAATGTTTGCTCATATTTCTCTAGATCTTTCAAGTAATTTCGTATTGCTATGTCAATAGTGATTTCTCTTTTCATTAATTACAAACATTTCAGCCGTCCCTTTCCCCCCAACACATCGCTTGACATCTGAAGAAGTATTTGATATGGATGGGCTACCCAGAGTTGATGTTCTGAAGAATCACTTAGTAAAAGAAGGTCGAGTAGACGAAGAAATTGCACTTAGAATTATCAATGAGAGTCCTGCAATCCGTCAGAGAGAGAAAACCATGATAGAAGTAGAAGCTCCAATAACAGGTATAATTATTTATGGTATGATTATGATTTTTATAAAATGACGTCTCAATATAAAGCATTTTCCTCTTTTATATCCTAACACTCTTTGGAGGCTCTGGAAGTACAGTCTGTAGAGACTTGCACTGCTGTTAGAAAGCATGTGTTTCTCTGACAGTTTGAATCCACCTAGTGTTCTGAGGGAGAAAGATGGGCAGTCACCTCTTGTGTGATTTACAGCCTCAGAAACCCAACCAATAGACGGTCAGATGTGAATTGGTTCCCACTAAACAGCAATGAGTTTCCATTTGAGATTATGACTTGTACTAAATTAATATTATATGGTCATTATCTTGAATTTTTTAATTATTTTTTATAATTTTATTATTTTTGCCTCTCCAGTGAGCAAATAATCGAAGTTCGGAAGTTGTTCTAATATACTTTTGTAAAAGATTCTCAGTTCTCACCAGATGCTCTGCCGGGGAAGGAGGGACAATCTCCTCCTGTACCAGTCAGATCTGATTTGACGGTACACTCACACAAAAATAATAAAGAAAAAAAAGATTCTCAGTTCTGTTGGGTGTATTTCTGTTTACTGTATCAACTACTCACTTTGCTTTCAGTCATTAAGGACAAATACTTAAATGTCATTTAAATTACAAAAAAATGACTGTTCCATTCAAATGGAAATTTTATTGCCACAGTTATAATTTGTCATCCTAAAACTTGAACATACACTTGGTTTAAGGTAGAGGAGTTTTATAATTGAGACAACAAATTATCCCTGACTGCAGATTTTGGTCTTTGAACTCCAAGATGGACTACTTTATCTTGGTTTCAGATCTTGAACACATGAACAATTGGTTCATCCTTATTGTAATGATTCATAGATTATTTCCTTTGATAACATCGATAACATTTATAGTATATCTTAAAGAAATTAGAATTAAAGTAAAATATGTTATTTCAGAGTTCATTTTATATCTCATAATCTTCTTGTTTCAGTGTGTGGTGACATCCATGGCCAATTTTTTGATCTGATGAAACTTTTTGAAGTGGGAGGATCACCTGCTAATGCACGCTACCTTTTTCTTGGCGATTATGTGGACAGAGGATATTTTAGTATAGAGGTAATGAACGTCCCTTGTCATTTGTTTTGCTCTTACATGTTAACATAGATGATGTCCATTAATTTCTAGTAAAATAAGTTGCTTCAAGTACTTGTGTTGGGTTTTTCTTTAAAACCTCTTCTATTTTGAGTTCATTTGCTTGTGTGTTTTTTAAGCCACTATTTCTTTCTCTTCTATGTTTCAAACCAGTTTTTTTCTTTGTATTCTCTGTTTATATTTTGATTGAATTTAATGATATAATTACCATTTTCCCCCCCAGTGAAAATAATGAGCAGATTGAGAGGTCTCTGTTGCCTGCCTAATAACCCAGCGGTCCAAAGGAGTTAGTAGCACTACTCTTCCATCTTGTGTTTTAGAACATTAATCCATGTGAAAAAAGACTAATTGAATTCCCTTTAAATAAAAAAGCATATTTTAATATCTTTATTGTTTATGCTTTAGAGTTTCTCTTTAGTAACTAAGATCCAAATAGAATCTTTGTGTATATTTAAAGTATTTGTTGTAAAAAGGAGGCAATAAAAATAACCTGTTCATTATCGTTTAATAGTATATAATTGTTTTTGCTCCTTTGTTGTAAATACATGAGTAAAATACTGTAAATATTCAAGTCTGTATTTTCTAAAGTATGCATCTCTTTTAAAAAATAAAAACAGAACCAAATTATATAATATTTTTCTAGAACTTTCATTTTTCATACATCCCTGCAGTTGTGAATGTCTTTCTGAATTAGCAAATATAAATCTACAGCAGCATTTTTATTATCTGTCTTGTATTCATTCCAACAACTTAATGAAACATAATTAATCAAACTCTTATTTTTAGAAACTTAGAATGCTCTCAGTTTTTCCCATTATAAACAATAACTTCTGTGAACTCTACTATTCATATATATATCTTTGAATATCTCCCAGATTCTAGACATCGATACACTGGATGTATGCTTTACCCCTGTATATTTTTAATAAATATTATTTTGAATATGTAATGTATGCCAACCATATTCTAAGCCCTTAATACGTATTGATTAATCCTCCCAGCAGGGCTGTAGTGTTACTTTACTCATTCTATAGATGAGGAAACTGAGATTTAAAGAGGTTTAATAACTCTGCAAGGTCACAGTCAACTTAACTATTCATAAATGGTATACCTAGGCAGTGCTATTCCAAGGCTATGTTCTCTTAAACACCTCTTTGTGAACTCTTAAGCACCTCACTCAGTAGATATTGATACATACCTGGTGGATTTTTTGTGGGTTCCTCTTTTCAGATCCCCCTTTTGAGTGTTTTCAACATAAGTTCTTTTCCAAGGTATGCTTTCTATTGGGAAGGGAGTTCAGGCTGTCTTGCCTGCTTCCATTAGGAATTTTATTATCCTGAGTTGTTCTTTCTGTGGTGGTCTAGTGTGTAACATGTCGTCCTGCTAACCAGAAGGTTGGTGGTTTGAATCCATTAGGCACTCTGTGGGGAAAAAGGTGGGCAGCCCCCCCGTAAAGATTTACAGCCTCAGAAACCTATTGGAAGATTGCTGAGTTGGATTCAGCCTAATAGCAGTGAGATTTTTGAGAGCTGTTCTTTCCATTCTTTTTTCATTTTCACCCTTGCCCCCCAGTTCGACCATCTTCCTTGAACTATATCATAGTTTCAAGAAAGCCAGTATAATTTGACACATATAGGACATTTGGTTAGTAATTAAGCATGCTTATGCGTATTGAATCATTGTTATATTGAACTGTAATGTGTAGCTGACTCACTTAATACATTTTGTTATGAAAAGAAAACAATCAACATAAACAATAGAAGAATGTTGGGTTAAATATGACTCAATATTATGAATTAAATATTATTGTTTCTTTTCTTTTTTCTTGTGAACTAAGGTGTAAATAGTTAACACATTTCTATATAACTGTTAAATCCAGTTCTATATATAATGTATGTAAAAATTTTCAATATAAAGTTTATTTCATTTTATAAATGCTTGTATATGCCATACATATTTCCAAACAAAATAGTCTTTTTCTTTTTTTAAACAAATGAAACATGAGTCTGTCTGTGTCTTTGGTCATATTCATTCATAGCAAAGCATATGTTGATGTAAGTTTCTCTGCTGCACAATTTTTAAATATTCTTTATTTAAAATATTTTTCTTAAAACCTGTTTATGTAATAGGTTTCTACTTTATGTAAGACAGTATTTATAACTAGGAATTAACAAAAACAGTGTAACATTGAGACCATTATCCTTATTAGACCAGTATGATAAAGATTGAGAGTAAAATCCTGACTTCATTACTTAAGAGTTTTGTGACTTTGAAAGAGTTACTTAATTGGTCTCTGTTCCAATTTCTTTATTTTGTAAAATAATGATAATATTAAATGCTTCCAGATTGAGGAATAATTGATGGGATTTAGTGTTTGGCACATTATAAGTAATTCGTAATTATTAGCTGCAATTTTTTAACATTTTTAAAAATTAATTAAAGAGGACATGCCAGTTTGGTAATTGTTTTTATAATGAGCATTTTGTAAATCTGTAATAATTAAATAGATTATTTGTCTCGTTAATTTAACAAGCATTTATTGCTCGTGTATTTCTTGCTGTTAGAACATTACTTGCTAGTTATTTTTTCAGTAGTAGAAAAGCAGAAGTGCAGAACAACTATGAGATGTCATCTCACCCTAGTAAGAATAGCAAAATTTAACAGAATAGCAAACAACAAATGCTGGTGAGGTTGTGGAGTAACTTGAACGCTTATTCACTGTTGGTGGCAGTGTAAAATGGTGCAACCACTATGGAAGGCTGTATGGCCCTTTCTCAAAAAGAAATACCATTTAATACAGCAATTCCTCTACTGGGAATATATCCTAAAGAAACCATAACCACCACCCAAGCAGACCCATGTTTATCGCAGCTTTGTTCACAATTGCAAAGAGTTGGAAACAACCTAAGTGCTCATCAACAAACAAATGAATAGAGACGCTGAGGTATATTCACACCATGAAATACTATGCTGCATTGAAAAACAAGGAACTCATCAAATACTATACAAAATGAGTGACCCTGGAGGAAATTATGCTAAATGAAGTATCTCAGTCACAAAAGGACAAATACTGCATAGTGCCACTGTTGTAAAATGGGACTGACATAGGGGTTAGAGGGAGACTGAGAAAGATGGGATAAATTATACATACTGCATTGAAACAGATGAGGGAGAGAACTGTTTAAAAGGGATACGTGGTTAGGTATTATTGTCATGACAGGAGTCCAGAACGAAGGCTGCATAGTGGAGTGCATTTGAGGGGAGGGATTGTGTAACAGTGAAAGAATTTTTCTTTTACTTTTCAAAGAGCAGAGTGAACTGGGGGAGAGGGGTGGGCAGGGAGGAAAGTGCAACAAATGAATGGAAATCCGAAGTTGCTGTAAATTTTTATTAAAATTAATAATAAATTTAAAAGAAAAGCAGAAGTGAATAAAATATTAAAGTACCTAGAGTGTTAAGTTTAGATAAAACAGTAAAAATCTAACACTAAACAGAAGATAATTCACAAAAGCATTTTCTTTTTGCAGTGTGTCTTATATTTATGGGTCCTGAAGATTCTGTACCCAAGCACATTATTTCTTCTGAGAGGCAACCATGAATGCAGACACCTTACTGAATATTTTACCTTTAAGCAGGAATGTGAGTATTTCCAGGAGAAGTGTATTTTATTTGCTTGGTGTTCTTTCAGAGTGATGATGTGCTTAGTCAAAGTTACAAAGACTTTATAATGCAAGATGTAAGAATAGATTTTTTTTTTATGTCTAGAGGTATAAAGCTTTGCAGAATATCAGGAATGCTATATGTTTATTAGCATTTAGTTCAGAAATTTTTATTTCACTGTGCAATTTAACTCTTTCTTTTTTTTTTAATATTTATTTTATTTTATGATTTTTGTGTGCGTGTACCGTCAAATCAGATCTGACTGGTACAGGAGGAGATTGCCCCTCCTTCCCCGGCAGAGCATCTGGTGGAATCGAACTGTGGCAATTTAACTCTTAATGTGTTGTTATGTGCTGTCAAATTGACTACAACTTCTAGAGACCCAATGAACAACTAATCTGAACTTTGCCCTATCTTGCACCATCTTCATCATCTCTGATATATTTAACTTCATTTGTTACAGTCAGTGTAAAAATACTAAAATTCTTTTTCCTAAAGGAAGAATAAAAACTAAGAAAAAATTGCTTTTGTTATGGTTGCCTAACTCATCATCATAAGACCTGTAGTAACCCTGTAGGGAATGTTGTATTTCATCGAGTTGGAACCAACTCATGGCTGACTCTCCAGCGGGTTTTCACAGGCAGTAAATCACACAGGACGAGATTGCCCATCTTTTTCCTGTGGAGCAGCTGGTAAATTTGAACCACATGCTTTTGGTATTGCAGCATAGCTTCTTAACACTATGCCATCAGAGCTCCCTATAGGGTATAGTAGAACCAGTCCATGAAATTTCTAAAGTTGCCATATCATACTCTGGTTTAGTAACTGATGGGTTTAAACTGCCAACCATTTGATTAGCAGCTGAGTCTTTAACCACTCTGTTACTGTTGTTGTTGTTGTTGTGTGCTTTCAAGTCAGAAACTACCCTTCTGACCCTCCTGTGGGTTTTCAGAGGCAGTAATTGCACTGGGGGAGATTGCCCATCCTGCTGTGGAGCAGCTGGTAGATTTGAAACGTGTCTTTGGAGATGTAGTCCAGACTCTTACCACTAGGCCACCAGAGCTCCCTACTATGTCACTAAGGCTCCTAAAACATGCTGTTTATGACTTGAAATTCTTACCTACAGTATTTCTTCCTTTCTGCTTAACCCCACCCTTACCTCCACCTCAGTTATTATAACATTGCTTAGAAGGGTCAGCAGTCTCCTCCTGTGTTATTAACTGCCTCTGAAAACCCACTGAGGAGTCAGTTATGAGTCACTTCCAACTTAATGGTACACAGCCAGCAACAATATATTCGTTAATGGAGCTCTAGTAGTGTATAGTCTGTAGAGAATTGGGCTGCCAACTCAAATGTCACACCTCTCCATCAGTTTAAATCTTCTAGCATCAATATGCGAGAAAGGTGGACAGTCTCTTCCCATATAATTTACAGCCTAGAAACCTGCTGGAGGGTCACTTATGAGTTGGTTGGTTCTGACTCAGTGGCAATAGGTGAGTGAATATAGGAGCTATAAACACTTTTTTTTGGGGGGGGGGTGTATATATATCTCTGTATTTAACTTCTTTATAGCTTATACCCATGTGATCGTTAATATTCATGACTCTTAATTCTTAAGAGCTCTAAAAGTAAAAATAATTTCAGATTTACTGAGTCCCAAAACATGACCCAATAAAGATCCCAATTGTAGAGACTTAAGTAAAATAATGATGGTTAATGACAAAGAAGGCAACTCACAACTTCAGAGCAGATAATGTAAATGAATGAGACTTAAAAATACATGGCTTGACCTAAAAGTAATCAAATTAAACTTTTTATTAAACCATAGTCATATTAGTAGACCACTAGTTTTGAACCTTTGGTTGCTGAACATAGATTTTCTTATCCTGAGCACTGGTAGACTGCTAGGTAAGGATTTGTGCTGCTAACCCAGGGGCACGAGATGTGAATCCACCAGCCGCTTGCAGGAGAAAGATGAGCAGTCTCCTCCCCAACCTTCATCCCTGATCTTTGCCGTTTACAGCCTCTGAAAACGTGCTGTAGGGTTAGCTATGAGACAGATCTTACTTGACCGCATAGCCAACAACAGCAACATATTTGAGTATAGAAACTATGTTTTGCAGAGGTAGTTAATGAACCACCTATCAAAATCCCATCAAAACCATAAAATACTGAAGAATTTTAAAAGCAAAACAGAGCAAAATAATAATAATTTAAAGGTATAAAACAATGTACATGTTTCCTTGAAAGTAAATGACAGTTTTTTGTTGAGGTAAAGTATGTTGGTTTTTGTTTTGGGCGGTTTTAAACTTTCTGGTATTTCTGAGTTGGCTTCCTGCCAACTCCTATCTATTTTACTGTTAAGCTTTCAATATACAAGAGAGCAATTTATTGGCATCCAATATATGACTATAATGTTCTATTTTATTTACTTTAATTGTATAAGACTTCAATTTGTTGTAATTATTATAGTATAATCTCGCCCCTGATAGGAATAGTCATTGGCTCAGCAATAAAGATTAAAACTATGCTAACCTCAAATATTGCTCTGATTTCACCTTACTTGCTTTACAGTTGAACTGGTTTTTAAAGATTTGATTTTTTTTCTGTTTAGCATATTTGATAACTGCTACATACTCAAAATTATTTTTGAGAGAACAAACACTTTACCTTAATCAGACTGATAGCATGATTCTTCCAAAGGAATGTTTTTGCCCTTCCTCCCTCCTTTCTTGTTTCTATACAGTAAAATTCCCTTTTTGTTCTGTTCGGAATTGAGAATTTGACAGATGCATTTAAATTTCTTACCACTACAGTAGACATCACTCCATAAAATCCTTCTTTCCTGTCTTTTGATACAGTCGTTTTTTCAGCCACTCTTAATCTGTGGCTACAACTTCTGTTTCCTGTCTCTATAGTGTTCTTGCTTTAGTTTTAGTTTTAATAGTAAGTTTAATATTTGTTTTATTAATAACGAATCATATAATTTTCAGTTATTTCATTTTCTTTTTCTAGGTAAAATTAAATATTCAGAAAGGGTCTATGAGGCATGTATGGAAGCTTTTGATAGCCTGCCTCTTGCTGCACTTTTAAACCAACAGTTTCTTTGTGTTCATGGTGGACTTTCACCAGAAATACACACACTGGATGATATTAGGAGAGTGAGTATATATTTTCATTTCAGTATGGATTTCTATTTAGAGTACTTTACTGTGGAGAGAGTAGAAACTTTAGACTTCATTGCAAAGATTAGGTAATGGTGAAATTTAATAGATTGATATTTTAAGGAAAATTTTTTTCATTATTCAGGACAATGCAATATGCACAGTATTCAAAGTACCATCTTCCCTTGTCTGTTCTCACCTTACTTTTTGACAAGTTATTTCTGTTCTTTGTTTCTTTGACAGTTAGATAGATTCAAAGAGCCACCTGCATTTGGACCAATGTGTGACTTGCTATGGTCTGATCCATCTGAAGATTTTGGAAATGAAAAATCACAGGAGCATTTTAGTCATAATACAGTTCGAGGATGTTCTTATTTTTATAAGTAAGGGGGAAAACTCCAACATTTTCATTCAAAATAACATATACTTCATATAGAAAAGCATTGTTTTACTTAATTTATTCTTTTCCCCCCTACAGCTATCCAGCAGTGTGTGAATTTTTGCAAAACAATAATTTGTTATCGATTATTAGAGCTCATGAAGCTCAAGATGCAGGGTAAGAGTTCTGTTTCCCTGACCCAAATTAACACCTTAAATACAAATCAAACTTAGTAACCATGATTGATGCTTTACGATGCATATTAAGCTATTTGTTTTGCAGCTATAGAATGTACAGAAAAAGTCAAACTACAGGGTTCCCTTCATTAATAACAATTTTTTCGGCACCTAATTACTTAGATGTCTACAATAATAAAGGTAAGATACTGTTGATAAAAAAAAATTGTTAAGCAACTTAGCTTATTCTTTGACTTTTTTTTTAGATACTATAATAGAAAAGGGGCATTGTTTGAAACTGTATCTATCCAGATCTCACAAAAAGCTATAATAAGGGAGGGGAGAGAACAAGAGATAAAATCCAAAATGTGAAGTTCAGTCAAGTGTAACCATTCCACAACTTGTCACAAACACTGTCTTGTTCTAAGTATAAGTACTTCAAGTAAAACCAGACTTGCTTTTTTGAAATTTTTCTTTTCTTAAATCTTCTTTATTTCTATAATCATGGTAATGTGTTTTTGTTTGCATAAAGCTGTTGCTACTGTGACCATTTTGTTTGCACTGTTTCCTTCATCATGCTGTTTGTTTCATGTCCTCTGACCTAGGTTCTTTTCCTTTCCTAGCACCTTTGCTTGCTTCTGTAGTGCTGTTATTGCTCTAGAAGGATACATTTGAGTCTTTGCTTAATCTACTCTGACCCCCTTTCATGGAGACTTTCCTCCCATTCCTTCTTTTATGCTCTTCCCTTTTTTTCTTATATCTTTACCTATTACTCCCATCTCTCTTTTCATATTTAATCTGTATGATAATTAGATTTCCCTTAGCTTTGAACATTGCTGTGGTTTGCTAGGGCCAAAGGATCTTAATCTAGTTGACTATGTGCCAAGGACACCGAAGATGAGATTGGGTATATTTACAGAGTTCACATTTTCAGAAGAGGAAATTAAGAAGCCAGCTCTTATTCTGTCTTGACATGTCTGGAATTCAGTTGACTATGCCATAGCTTCCAGGGTCAGACAGGCGTAGATGTGCCAGAAAGAAAGAACAGAAGGTTAAAGACTTTTAAAAGTAACTCAAAGAGATAATGAAGTCATTGCTAAATATGAGTGGTAGTATATGGTCAAAGGAGAACAGAGTAAGGGTTGTTTTTTGGTAGTGGAAAGTTAATAAAAGGTTAGAACATTCGTCTAGACATCAAACAGCAAGTTAGATAATGTCTATACAAAATATGCTACAACTTACTTAAGTATATTAATTATTGAACTGCCATAGATCATTGTGAGAAACAAATGCTAGTGTGGTTTATACCAGTATTTTAATAATCTTTTAAAGTATATTTTGGTTTACTTTTAAATTCCTATAATGATAGCTAATAAAGTATGGATTCATTTCTTAGAAGATAAATATGTCTAAATTTTAACCTGGTTCCAAAGAGCAGAATCAATACTGCATTCACCTTCTTTCCAGTGCTCTAATTCTTCAGCTGGGACTTCCTCTTGTCATCATTAAAAGAGAACTAGCTAGTGTTCAGTGCCCCAGTGACTGCTTTACTTGTTGTCCTTTGTTAAGAAGTTAATCCATTTTTATAGTCCTCAGAATGAAACATAAACTCTTGAGTCTGTCTTGTCAAAATAAAATGTCTTTTGCTATTTCTAAGTCTGGATGTAAATAATGTTAAAAATTTGGTTAATTACATAGTTTGAGTATGTTTGTAATGTTTCATTCCATTCTCAAGGCAATTTTCTAGATTATTCTTCCCCTCCCCCCCCCCAGTTAAATAACATCTGACCATGTTCCTAGCCTATGGATTCTGAGAATAAATCTAAAATACTCTTACTTGACATGGGAAGGTTACATATACATATTAAGTTAGTAAATGGTAATATGTAGCAGGATTAGTTTTGACTCTTCCTTCATTAGCCAGAATGACAAATTTTGAAATTTAATATCTACATTCCAGTGCTTTTCATTAAGATGGATGAATGTATGTATAATCACAAAGTTATAGGTATGATATCAAAAAGCATTTTATAATTTTATGTGCTTTCATGTAAAATACGTTTTCTAATCTTAAATTTCTGAGGTAGGCAAAATTGGATATAGTAGCTACTTTTTTTAAATCAAAGACACATTCCTGAAATAATGTACTCAGCATTACATATCTAATATGTGCTGTGTCCAAACTTAGAATACTTTTAACCTTATGCTTCATAATATAAGCAGTCATGACTAAAATTTGTTTCAGTTAATGTAAGATACTGATATATCAAAATACTTAACTGTTATAACGTTGTTCCAAATTGAGATGAATAATTATACTTTCTCTTTTGGTACTTTAATGGGTATTTTCATTTTACTAAATGAAGTAAAATATTTCTTTGTAGTAATTTCATCTGGTTTCCTATCTTAGTGAAATATATTGATTCACTAAGTGTTTCAAATTGATTTGGATTTGGGATTTTCTTGTGGGTTTTTACTATATTTTTTTACCTTTCTGTTATCCTTTTTAGGTTGTTTGCAGCTGAATAGACTTAAATCCCTCTGATTTGTTTGAATTTTAAAACTAGAAAATTGCTCATTGTCATTCTGTGTTCCCTTTAAAAGTTATGTTTTCACAATTTTGGATTTAATAAAAGTGCATGTTCATCATTTGATTATAAAGTAAAATGAACATTTTAGAAGAAGTCTGAAAATTTTATTTGTAATAACAAATGAAGATCTCTTTTTCTATATAAAAGTGTGTTTTAAAAGGAAAAAAGTATGATAATACTAAAAATAAGCTCCCTAATTCTACTCAATCCTCAACCCTTCATGTACTAAAACTATATTTTTCTATTTTTATGTGTTTTATACTTTTGGCACTAAAGCCAAATTCTTACATTGATGTTCGAACTTATCTTGCAGCTGCTGTATTAAAGTATGAAAATAATGTGATGAATATTCGACAGTTTAATTGTTCTCCACATCCTTACTGGTTGCCTAATTTTATGGATGTCTTCACATGGTCTTTACCATTTGTTGGAGAAAAAGGTACAGTTTTCTTACAAACAAAAAACTCCACCCAAATAACAGTTGTTTTATTTCTGCTACATTTGCTCTAGTTTACTATTGCAAGCACATGCTTGCTACAGGGAAGCTGAAGTCCAGTTTTCCTGTGGGTACAGCTCTCTTGTGGCAGTGGGTGTGGATATGAGAGCCTCAAAGATATTTTAGTTAGCTGTTTACAGCCCCCATGTGAGGGTGTCTGGGGGACTGGGAGAAGACTTATAAATAGCCTGATGTTGTCTTCAGCTGTTGGGTTTTTTCCTTTTTCCATTAGCTTAAATCTTTTTTTGTGAAGGAATTATGGGGGATAGCTTTGCTTCAGAATAGACAGTTCTGCACATTTAAAACTGCATTTCGAAATATCATAGCAATTCTTAGGATAATTTAATAGCCTTTGTTTTTAACAGTGTTACGATATTTTGTATCAGTTCTGTATTCCAGAAGAAATTACAAAGAGCAATTTAGGTTCCTAATATTTTTCTCATATATCAGAAGTGTGAAAAAAACTTCAGTTCTAATTTTTTGATAAAAATACCAGTTAGTGTAGACTTTTTAAAGAAATATAAATACTACTAACAATTTTTTCCAGGTCTGTAGAATTCTTGGGATATCCATATTTTTCACATTTTTCTTTTCCTTGTAGTAGTGTTTATTTTCTCACAAAGCAGTGCCTCAGTTTCCATATATGGGAAGAACTATCATGAGTGTACAGGCATGATTATAAAACATTTTGTTCCATATCCCCCCTCTGTTTTTTCTCACCTCTTTTATGTTACAAAATGTTCCTTTCTGTATGAGATGTCACTTCTGCCAAAGCAATTTTGGCACTAAAACTCAGATTTAATATTTAAACTGTGTATGTTAAAAAGATTTTCTGAAAATTGCCTTTTGTCTTTATCACTTACTCAGTAGCGCCAAAGTTAAGTTAATATGAAGATAGAATTACCAACTTTAGCATTTGAGAAGGGGACCAGTTAAGGGCTTAGGTGCAAGGGATGCATTACACTTACAACCTTCTATCTTTGGGATATGAGAAATAGCTCAATCATAGCATCATCAGGTTAAAAAGAATTTAAGAATTCATCAAGCTTATTCTCCTGCCTCCAGGCTAGATTAAATTTCCACTATTTAGTGTATATATTGTATTGAGGTGGATAGGGTAAGGTAAGGAGGAAAATGTATGTTTCATTCATAGATGTTTTTTACTTTGGTTTACTTTGAAATATTTCATTATGCCTAATCTAAATATCTGTGCTATTGAGTATGAGAACAAAGAAGGAAACAACAATAATTTGGTTTTCTACAGCTGCTAACCTATCAAAAACTGTTATTTCAAACTTTTTAAAAAGTTAATTTAATAAGCATGTAGTCCAACTCCTTTTGAGAGAAAAGATTTATTCTGATTTCTGTAGAATCCTTATGGATGAAGATGAACAATAGGTTCATTGTTCTGCATTTGATTCAGCTACCATTTAAATGATCTCGCTTTTGCTGTTCTAAATCATCTGTGTAAAATGAGACTTTTGACTAATTTTTATTGTTTTATCTCTGGATTCTCTTTAAATTCTTCACATCTTTCTAAAAGTGTGATACTCAGATTTGAATATTATATGCAAATAGAATCATACTCGGAGTGTAGTAAGAACATTTTCTCAAACTCTTTGCTTACTTTACCATATTAGTGCATATTGGCTGTTCAATAGCTTAACTGCTTGTGATTCCAATGAAATTTTCTTTACATGTAAAAAGCAACAAGTATCTCTCATTTGTTCCACTTCCAGCAATTCAGTTTGATCTTCTTATTCTCTGGGAAGCAACTAACCTAAGCCGGAAGCTTCCTGAAAGACTTGATTAACTTTAATGCTAGATGAAATTAGTGTATTTTTAAACTTCTGTTGGCTAAGAACCCACTTTTTATTTTGGCTCATATGTTGGAAAATTTTCCACATATACAGAGACCGGTTACCGAATTATGACCAGTCTTATTTTACATACAGAGCTCTGGTAGCATTGTTCCATGTTGTGCTGCTTTCCAGCACTTCAAATCTACCAGCTACTCCAAGGGAGGAAAATAGGCAGGCTCCTCTGGTAATGATTTGCTGCTTTAGAAACTCAGTGAAGAATTTCTGTCACAGTCAACTTGACAACATCTGGTTTGATTTGAGGATTATTTTACTTAATACATCTACTATTCCTCTCCCCCTGTTATTTTAAAGCAAATCAACTATCCTTTTTCCCACTTTTTGTGTGATTTGAGTAAAAACTTGCAAAGCATATTGATTTTTTTATCTACCCATTCGTTTTGTTCTTTAACATTAATTACAATACCCACAATGTAAATGCACTGTTCTTGTGATTCTAATTTTCATTAATTCTTCGGCTCTGTCCCTTACTGCCTTCTGATCTTTATCCATGAGTAAATGCTGCAGTTTCAATTTTAGGTATTTGATTCATCCAAGGAGTGAGTGTCTTCCTGATATTTTGGTCATTTTATAGGCTTGCCTGTTGTTTGGCTGCAGCAAGTTCTAGATTCAAAATGTAACTATGAGCCATAGTCCTTTTCTTTTCCTCTCTCTCTTTTTTTCCATAGTCTTTTTTTTTTTCTAAAAAGAAAGGTCCATTTAAGAATTTATCTCTAAAAATTACTATCATAGGGAGGTCGGGAAGCCTAGTGGCAAGAAACTGTGCTGCAATCCCTAAGACAAGCACTTTGAATCCACCAGAAGCTCGTCTGGAGAAGGAGGGGCAGTCTTCTCCTAAACCAGGCAGATCCTATTCGATGGTACACACAAATAAAAATGAAAAAAAAAATGACTCTTTTTTAAAAAAAAACCCAAACTTGAAAGTATTATTTTCTTCATTTCATTTCCTGTTAAGAATATGATGGAAGGTCTTTTGCCTCAGAAAAAATTCACATAGAGAAAATTGTAAATCTCTACATATGAACAACACTTTTGATAGCATTATAAATCTGAAGTAAATTGGAATTAAACCACCAATGTTTAAACCCTTGTTTAAGAACCTTTGTTTTTTAATCCCAGAGGCACCTGGTTCAAATCTACCAGATGCCCTGCTGAAGAAGGAGGGACATTCTCCTCCTGTACCGTCAGATCCAATTTGACAGTACACATACACACACACACACACACACACACACACACACACAAATAATAATAAAATAAAAATGAAAAAAATAACTTTGTTCTAGAGATGCATATCATAAGATCATCTCAGAAATTAATTTATCTACACTTTATTAATTTAATAGCTTTCCTTTTGAGAGTTTGCTTTGTTCATATTACTAAAGATATGTGATAGAATGGTAAATATGAATAAAATTCTAAGTCAGAGAACTTCCTAAGCCTACACTTGAAAGCACAGTCTGTTTGACAAATGTTGAATGGTTCACTCACTGTTACAGTGCTCATCATTTTTTTGTAGGTAGTATGTATAATCTTCATTTGTTGTTATTGCTAGGTGCCATGAGACTATGACTCTTAGCAACTTGGAGAACAACAGATCTGAGCCTCGCCCTGTCTTGTACCATCCTCATGATCTCAGATATACTCAAGCTCATTGTACTATCAGTCTGTCTAGTTAAGGATCTTTCTTTCTCTGACCCTCCACGTTTCCCAGCTAGTGTCTTTTTCAAAGGATTGATCCCTCCTAACAATATGCCCAAAGTATGTGAGATGAAGTTTCACCATCCTTGCCTCTAGGGCGCACACTGGTTGCACTTCCTTTAAGTAAGAAGTCCCCTTTATGATAGTAGGGATTGTATCTGTCATATCTAAATCCCAATGCCTAGCACTATACCTAACATTGTCTGTTCTTAATACTGTTTTTTTATTATTATTATTAATTAAATGAAAATTTACAGAGACTTTGGATTTCCATTCATTCATTGTTGCACTTTTCTCCCCTCCCAACCTTCTCCCCTAGTATACTAGCCTCTTGAAAAAGTAAAAGAAAAATTCTTTTCATTGTTTTACACCACACCCCACCTCACCCCCACCCCGGGTCCACTCCACTATGCCGCCTTCACTCTGGTCTCCTGTCATGACAAAAATACCTAATCACATACCCCTTTTCATCAGTTTTCTCCCTCATCTGTTTCAATGTAATACACATTATTGAACCCATCTTTCTCAGTCTCCCCGCAACCCAGATGTCAGTCCTGTTTTACTACAGTGGCACCATGCAGTATTTGTCCTTTTGTGACTGACATACTTCACTCAGCATAATGTCCTCCAGGGTCACCCATTTTGAATAATATTGCATGAGTTCCTTGTTTTTCAGTGCAGCGTAGTATTCCATTGTGAATATACCACCGCTTCTCTATCCATTCGTTTGTTGATGAACACTTAGGTTGTTTCCAACTCCTTGTTATTGTGAACAAAGCCATGATAAACATGGGTGTGCATATATCTGCTTGGATGTCAGTTATGGTCTCTTTGGGGTATATTCCCAGTAGTGGAATTCCTGGGTCAAATGGTATCTCTGTTTGCAACTTTTTGAGAAAGCGCCATACTGTCTTCCACAGTGGCTGCACCATTTTACACTGCCACCAACAGTGAATAAGGGTTCCAGTTTCTCCACAACCTCGCCAGCATTTGTTGCTTGCTGTTCTGTTAAATTTTGCTATTCTGACTGGGGTGAGATGATATCTCATAGTTGTTTTTCTTAATACTCTTATAAGAGGAAAAGCAAATTTTGGGAGGCATTGCATTTTATTTTGTATGTGTGAGTTTATAGGTTTGGGATATTGAAAGGCTAATATTTAAGGAAATTTTTATTAACTGAAATACATTTATTATCTTTCTTACTAAATTTACTCATTTGGCAAGATATTTAATTGGTGCCTGTCATTTGGCAAGATATTTTATTAGTGCTTATCATTGTGCTAGGCTCTAGAGATACAGTGGTGGGCAAACCAATGTTCTACCCACTTGAAGATTGTATTCAGATAGGGGAAACTGTAACTGAGATAGTGAATGGAATCACTATCTTTAGTGGATGGAGCGTAAAAAATAGAATATCTAAATTTAGGAGTAGGGAAGAAAAGGGACTCTAACAAAAATTCTCACCACTGAGCCAATTGGCACCATCATGATAGATGGAGAAGAGATGGAGATTGTTAACAGCTTCAGTTTGCTTGGCTCCACAATCTGTACTCTTAGTACCAGCAGCCACAAAATCAAAAGATGAATTGTCTTGGGAAAGTGTGTTGTCAGGGACCTCTCCAGAGTACTGAAAAGCAATGACGCCAGTCTGGAAACTAAGGTGCTCCTGATCTAGGTCCTGCTCTTCACAATTATGTGCTGTGGTTCAGAAAGCTAGACAATAACTAGGGATGATAGAAGGAGACTTGATGCCTTTGAGCTGTGGTACTGGAGAAGAGTATTGAATATATTGTGCACTGCTGTGCACGAAAACAAATAGGTTCATCTTAGGGTGAAACCAGGCTGCTCCTTAGAGGCAAGGATTATAAAGCTCTGTCTGACTTACTTTGGACATATTGCAAGGAGGGACCAGTCCTTGAAGAGGGACATGCTTGGGAGGGTAGAGGGACAGTACACAAGAGGAAGACCCTGGATGAAATGGATTGGTTCAGTGACTCGGGTAATGGGGGCAGGTGAGTCAGCTACAGTAAGATTGGCTCAGGATATAGCAGGTTTCCGAACTGTGGTACATAGGGTCACAATGAGTTGCAAACAACTAGACAGAACATAACAACATAAAATTGGAGACGGAGAAGTTGCCTTAGAATAGGAAAACTAAAAGAATACAATCCTGGCAAACAAAGAGGGGAAAATAGAGAATGAGCAAGAAAAACTAAGCTCAAGAAAAATCATGAGTTTAGATCTTAGTCGCTGTTGTTAGGTACCCTCAAAATGACTTCAACTTATAGTGACCCTACAAGCAACAGATTTGAATCTTGCCCTACTCTGTGGTATCTCTACCATCTCTGATAAGCCAAAACCCATTGTTATATGTATTTTATCCATTATGTTGGATATTTCTTTCTCTGACTCTGTCTTTCCCAGCATGATGTCTTTTTCCAAGGATTGGCTCCTCCTGACAACATACTCAAAGTATATGAAATGAAATGTCACTATCCTTCTAAGGAGCATCTTCCTCCAACACAGACTTTGTTCATTTGACATTCCATGGGATATTTAATACTCTTCAGCAACACCACAATTCAAAGGCTTCAATTCTTCTATCTTCTTTATTCATTGTTAAGCTTTAGTCGTCGTTGTTGTTGTTATGCGCTGTCGAGTCACCTGCAATTCATAGCGACCCTCTGTACAACACCCGTAAACCCTGCTCTATTCCTTGCCCATTCCCATTACCCCAGTGACAGAATCAATCCATCTCATCTAGCGTCTTCCTCTTCTGCGCTGTCCCTCCACCCTCCCAAGCATGACATCCCTCTCCAAGGAGTGATTCCACCTTGTAACATCTCCAGAATATGTCAGACGAAGCTTCAAAATCCTTGCCTCCAACGAGCAGCCTGGCTTCATCTTCTCCAGGACAAACCTATTTGTTCTCCTAGCAGTCCATGGTATATTCAATACCCTTCTCCAACACCAAACCTCAAAGGCATCAACTCTTGTTCTATAATCCCTAGTCATTGTCCAGCTCTCTGATGTATAGCAAGTAATTAGTCATTAGGCATCTTCAAAAATATGTTTGGTGGAGTTGCTGAAGCTATTTCTTAAAAGATTGAATTTGGGATTTTGTGTGTGTGTGTGTGTGTGTGTGTGTACCGTCAAATTAGATCTGACTGGTACAGGAGGAGATTGCCCCTCCTTCTCCAGCAGAGCTTCTGGTGGATTTGAATAGCACACCTCTGGGAATTGCAGGATTTTTTTTTTTAACAGTGCAAGTGTGCTGTGGTGGTTGTTTTTTTTATCATTAATACTGTTTTATAGTTTAACTTGTATAATCTTTAAATGAAGCTTTGAAATGTGTACCTTCAGGTATCATTCATCTTTGCTTATCTTCAGGAGGCTTTCTTTTTTGAAATTTTTTTCCTGAAAATTTTTTCCATAAAGAATATCTCTTTCTCTTTCAGAGTTGTTATCTGGTGAATTTCCTACATAAAACTTCTCTATCATTTATGCTATCTCAATATGCTAGTCATTTTGTGTTAGTCTTTATGTGACTAGTTACTATGTATACATATAGACAGTTGTATATGTTCATTAATGTTTAACTTTTCTCTTTTTCATTAGTGACAGAAATGTTGGTAAATGTTCTAAGTATTTGCTCTGATGATGAACTAATGACTGAAGGTGAAGACCAATTTGATGGTATGATTATTCATTTTACTTTTTAAAATTATGAAATTGTTATCTCTTAGCTGCCTAGCCCAGTATACACAATTTGGAAAAAATAATAATTACTCCATTTGGAAAAAAACAGTCATTGCTTTCAAGTATTTTATGCTGTTTGGTAAGAGACAAATTACTTTTTAAAAGATTTAAAATTTTATAAATAATTTTCATTATTTTTTTTCATGTAAGTATAGAGAAGAAGGTAAAGTTTTGAGAAAAGGGATTAGGAAGGAGGGGGGAAAGGAAAATTAAAAGGTACTGGAAGGATTATAATTTTTCATTAGTGTGGACACCACTTAGAGGAGAGTGATAGATATGCTTCACTCCCCAGTGTTCTTATTGCACCAGAAATCTACCTGTACCTGCTTTTACTTCTGCATTCTAGAACCAAAGCTGGCTATGGTTGAGCTCTAGAAGACAATTTGTATGTTTCAGAATCTTTTTTTTTTCCATAGAAACAAGGTTATACATGGTTGTTAGGTCTTAGGTAAGCTAACAAACCTACATCCTTAATGGATGTATATGAATACTAAAAGGAAAATAATTCCTTTTTGTTGTTAATTGTTTTCGAAATTTTGTTTAAAACTTTTAATATTAGTATTTATTAAAAACTTCGATCACAGAGCAAACACACACAAAGGTAAGCACATTTAAAACTTAAAATTTCCTTTATATTCCCCTCATATCTTTGTTTTAGTACTCTTTTCATAGTTGTGATCATGATAGACGTATTTCCATGTATTAAACGTAGTTTGGTAAGGAAGTTCTGGTGGCATAGTCCATAGAGGGTTCAGCTGCTAACCCAGAGGCCCAGAGCCTTTGTGTACAGGTGTCTTTCTACACAGTTTACAGCTTTGGAAACTCAGTTGGCAAATCAACTGAGTTGGTTTTGACTCTGCAGCAGTGACTAAGAGAGAGATTTTGGTAAGATTTAATAGCTACATATCTTTAAAAGGCATGGTAAAATACTGCCATTTTCATAGCTTATCTTAGAATCTGCTTAGCATGTGGGGAGTTTTTTAAATGCCATTTTTATGAATATTAGAGCAATAATCAACATCATGGTAAAACAGTATTTCTTTTCCTTCTAATTTCTGAAGGAATGTGAAGAGTTGTATTATTTACTTTTGAGTTACACCAAATTGCTGAGAAAAATTGGACTAATGCCTAAGCAGTGAGTCCATAGGTCTATTTCACTATAGGCTCATCTTATTGGATTTTGTTGTTTTGATATTTTTGACTACATGATATTAAGTAACACTCACTCAGTCATTGTTGTGTCAGAACTGACTCATAGTTTGCCCTCCATTGGGATTTTTTTTTATGTTTTTTGTGGTTTTTTGTGTTTTTTTTTTACAGAGGTTTTGGATTTCCATTCATTCATTGCCGCAGTTTTCTCCCTGCCCACCCCTCCCCACCAGCTTGCTTCCCCCTCCGAAGAGAGAAAAAAATATTCCTTCATTAGTATACAATTCCCACGTCCCTTCCCCCCACCCCCCACCTCCATTGGGATTTTGAGGTGGTGAATCACAAGAAAAGAGATTGTCCATCTTTCTCTCATTGAGCTGCTAGTGGATTCGAACTGCTAGAGAGCCACAGCCTTTGGGTTAGCAGAGTAACTCCTTATGAATTGCCAACAGTGCTCACTAGTAAGTTATAGTTAGTTAATTTTTTAAAAAGATTTCTATTGATGCTAAAAAAAAATATTACGGAATAAAACTATAGATACGTCTTTGTTTATAAATAGCTTTGATTCTTAAACATTATTATATATAAGCCTCTTTGTTCGAAGTACAAAGGAATTGTGTGTCCAAGTGATGGCTGTTGCCATTTTCAAGTGCAGCCAGAGATGTGCATTCGCTTTGGCTTAGTTTTGTTAATAACTCAAAGGAGCCCTGGTGTTATGATGGAGTTAAGTGTTTGACTACTGACCAAACAATCGGTGGCTTGCATCCACCAGCTGCTCCACAAAAGAAAGAAATGCAGTCTCCTGTAGATTTACAGCTTCGGAAACCCAATAAGGGGTCACTATGAATTGGAATTGACTCTACAGCAGTGGGTATAAGTATGGTTTATTTATAGCTGGTTTTTTTGTTTGGATAATAAGTTTTAATGAGTAATAATTCTTCTTCTTTAAGTCTCTTTTTATGTTGTTACAGTTGGTTTTTTTGGTTTGTTTTTTTTTTTTTTTAGTTTTAGTATATTTCATCTTACCTGTCATTTCCATAAAAATTTTAAATAGTTTTTATATTCTTCGTTATGCTTTAACTGTTTGTTGTTAGGATAGATCTACATTCAAATTATAGCTACTCATAATGGCTGGTTGACCTCAGGCAAATTATTTAACTTTTCTGAGCCTATGTTTCCTCATTTTAAAAAATGGAGATCTTAAGGAGCCCTGGTAGCCTAGATGCAAGAAGCTGCCCTGCACTCCCAAAGGCATGCTGTTCAAATCCATCAGATGTTCCACTGGAGGAGGAGGGACAGTCTTCTCCTGTGCCTGTCTGATTGGACTGGACAGCACACAAGTTTTTTTTAAAAAGTGGGGATCTTAATAACTAACTGATATATTACAAGGGCTGAGATTATAACTAAAACAACTTTTGACCCACAGCCATCTTCATTTTTGTAATGTTTTTTGGCAGTTTGTCAAAATCTATGAGAAATCTAGTAGAATTCTTAATTGATACTGTATTAAATCTGTATCTAAATCTAGGCAGTTATTTTAAACTTTCACAACTAAGACCAAGGTCTCTTGCTCTGTGTTGTTAGTTCATATGTAATTATACCATATGTTTAGAATATTTAGTTAAGAGAATAGTTTTTCTCTCGGTGGAAAATCTGTTATTACCAAATTAAATTACTCTAGTATTCTTATATACAATTCATATTATAATTGGTATCTTTCTTTATGTTTAGTCTAACTTTATTTAAACCTCAGATATTTCTAAGTTTATCTTATATCTGACAACTTGGATCAGCAGAATTATATCCTATGTAACTTTTAATTTGTTGTCTTTAACTTTTTAAATAATGTCATCTGCCATAAGCATGATATTTTTATTTACTTTCCACATTTTCACTTTATTTCTTTTTGTTGTTTAAAATTTATTAACAATATTGCCAGTAGTGTGTTATATTGAAATGTTACTATTGTTAATTGGCCATTGCCTTGACTACAACTCATAGAGGCCTTATAAAAAACAGTTATGAATCTTGCCCTGTCAATAATGCTTTAGTTATTTTCCTATAACTAAAAAAGTGTCCTTATTAAGTCTAATTATGTTAACATAGACACCAAACCATTTTTACTCAGTCAGGAGTAATTATAAAAGTTTACTATAGCCCTCAAAAGATATTGGGAGTTCTTTTGGCTTAGTGAGTAAGGAGTTTCACTGTCAACTCAAAGGCAGGCGGTTTGGAAACGCCAGCTGCTCCACAGGAGACAGCTGGACAGCCTCCTTCCAGGTGATGTACAGCATCTGAATAACCCACTGGAGGGTCAGCCGTGTCTCGGTTTCTACTTGACAGCAGTGAGCAAGAGAATAAGATGCTAAGTAAGATAGTTCCTGGTTTTCGATACGGTTCCATTCCAGCATCTCCGTCATAAATTCAGTAGTTTTATTTTCTTCCATTTTCATTATTATTGCCATACCCTACTATACAACAATGATTTGAACAGTAAATTGTAATATTGAACATCTGAGAGTGGACGTAGCAGTATTATAAAATCTGCAAATTAAACAGTGCAACATAATACTAATGATAAGTAGTACATACTACTAATGGTAAAATGGTTTTCAAACCCCAGTATAGCCCTAAATGCAGTTTGTTTTAGCTCAAATATGGCATAACTTGAAGACTGTGTTTTCAGTGTTTTTTCTTATCAAAATTATAAATGGTCTGCTTAGTCACTTAACATTGTTGAATTCCATGGAAAAATCACATTTGATCCCAGAAGATGCAGTGTGGCTTAGTGAAATGAGTAGGTCCCTTGGCATGTAATCATTCTATTAACTGTGATCTTGGTAAAAAGTCATCTTACTTCTCAGTAGCCTCCTCATAAACTAAGAAAATGAATACTAAAGTTTAGAATTTCTTCCCACTCTTAAGTATTTTTGCAAATTTTTGAGCACCATTTATGACAGTGTTTCTATGGGAAATGACATTGAGTTCTAGCTTTGAATACTAGAACTAGATCCTTAACTGCCAACATGGCAAGTATAAATTACTCCTTATCTCTTCATCTTTCCATTACCAAGTATTAAGAGAAGGAATTTGAAAAACGTGGGTTTGGGAGTTTGCATGCAGGAATGAGAGTGCCTTTGAAGAGAAGAGAAAGAACCTTGAAAGAGTCAAAAAAAGGAGATCATGGTAAAACTAGAGTGTAGGGTTGGGTAAAGATAAAGAGACTAGAGACTACTAGAACCAGCTTTGTTATCCTCCTCACACAATCCCTTATTTCTCCCCCTGACTCCATCCTTCCTTTTTCTTTCCTTTCACTATACCGTCTATCCTTACCCTCTCTCTCCTACTCAGCAGTGAAACCATCCCATGATCCAGAACTGGGAAGAAATGACACAAAGAAAATTGGTAGAATGGGGTTTCAGTAGAAGAACGATGGAATGAAGTGGAGGATTTAGAATTTTAATGGTGAAAGTGAGGAAAGGGCAGAATTTGATATTTCACAGTTCCAAAAAGGAAAAAGTTTTCTACATTCAAGATAAAGACAGGATAATAGAAATAAGATTCTCTTTATTCTTAAGTAATAACTCTTTGATATCTGTATTATTTATTCTATTTGTGAGGTTTTTTAAAAAACAAAAATTTATAAATAAACTATACAGAGCATACCTTTTATAGATTGTATTTACTCAAAGAAAAGAATTTTTAACCACTTTATTTCTATGATTAGAATGCATACTGTTTCTTTCAGGTTTACCTTTTGCCTTGAATTTGCTAAAGAAAATACATAATCCATGTACTATATATTCCTGTAATGGAACCATGCATCTCAGCCTTAGAATGAGAATATAGAAAGCTCATATGAAACTGCTTGCTGCCCACTCTTAGAGTTATTACTTGCTTAAAACAGTCTATTGCTATTTCTGCAAAAGATGTCTTCCCCTCAACCAGACTCCCAGATTGAATTGGGAACAGAAAGCACATTCTGTTGTTCTGGAGTATATGCAAAAATTCTACAATTCAGATTCAAAAAATCTTCAACTCTTGTTATTGTGGAATGGGGGAGGCTTGACTTTTTCTTTACTGGGGTTGGTTAAGGTTTTTTCCACTAAGATAGTTATTAAAGTTGCCTACATTTCTCTGTATATACTACAGATTTCGCAGATGTTTTGCAGATTTTGAAGAGCCACATGAACTTGTATTTCATTTGTGTCATTACCTTTCACGTAACATACTTCCATGGGGGACATGTTTCCTTAGCAGTATCGATATTTATATGTATGATTGTTGTTAGCACAGTCTTTTATCAGTCTTAAGTGTTTTCATGTGTTTTTTTTTCTGTCCCTTAATTATGTCTACTTTCATCAAATATTACATTCTGTTCATTATTTCTTCTAAAAATCTTTCTTAAAATTTCTTTTTAAAAATCTTTACTTTAGAGCTCTACCCAGTGGCATCCCTCTTTTTATTCACTAGATTCTACAGTACTACATTTTTCAAATACAAGGGCCTTCATTTTTCTCCCTTCCTTTCTGCATTCATTCTTCAGAACCACTGCCAAGTTAAATCTCTATCTTTTTATTTGTCTCAACCACCTTTTCTCCATCATTCACTTCCTTTTTTCTGGACTCTCCATCTGAAGAACGGCTCATATATGGCAATAAAAAAGGTACAGACCAGACAGAGTAACATTGTTTTGAAATATGACTTCATAAGTTATCCTCATGTTCATGTAAGTTCGCACATTTGTTGAGTACTGTTTATGCAGAGTCCTTGTGGGCCTTGTGCAAATTTTATCTGAGTTAGTATTTGATGTTTTGGGAAGTCATATTCCAAGATATCTGTCTTTCTGTGCATGGAAATATTTTCCCCTCTTTTTCATTCCTCTTGTTTTTAAATTTCATTCTTTTGCTTATTTGTAATGTTTTGTACTTTTCCCTGCATGATTAGGGGTGTTTGATTGTCTGTCTTATTCCCCAAAATAATTTTACTGTGGACATTTTACTTTAATATATGCATGATGTGTTTTTAGACTGATTTAAAATCTTGATTCTGTAGAGTGTTTTTATTCCCGATGAATTTCTCCAATGAAATCAGCATAGTTTACATGTCATTTAGTTTTAAAGTTATGTAACTAAAGGCTGAAAATATGAATATGCATCAATATAGCTGTTCTCTCCCATCCCCCTACTCCTCACCCCCAGTCTAGCTATTTCAAAAATTCTGTCAGTTTTAAAATAAAATACTTTTATTAAATTCATTAGAATAGAAAATTAAATAAGACTTACTTCGGACAAGTGACTTTTTTAAAAAAAAAAAAGATTGAACTATATATATGCAATGTCTTTACTGTCCTTAAATTCTAACATTTTATGATTCTGAAGTTTTAGTAATTTTTTTTAAATCTTAAAAATGACTGGTACCATGGTGCCCACCATTTTGGACTTGTTAAAAGCTGTAGCTTCAGTGCTCATAATACTGCCCTTTGAAGTTCTTATGTGCTTATCGAACCTATTTTCTCTACAGTATGTTTTTTATTTTCATCTTTGAAATTGGATTTCTTTTCTCTTTTATTTGTAGTAAGATCCAGCTGTCATCTGAGATTTAATTATATGTATGTTTGGACTGCTTAATTTTTTACATGAAATACTCAAGCCATAGACTTAAGGTTACTCAGATTTCTGTATACCTCAGGCCACTTCTGGTCTAGTGTCTTTAGCCTTACCTTAACCTTCTCCTCAACCATAGTGCTTCCATATGTGTGTTTTCATCATGTTGAAGCACAACTCTAACGAACTTGGGGCCAGAGTGATTTTGGTTGCTATATATGCGGTAACAGTACTGAGATCAAAGTTGTTCTTTCTGGAGGCCAAGGAAGGAAGTTATGATCTCTGAGTCTTTCTACAACCAAGTATCTAATTATTTTGATATATTCTCTTCTATATTTCAGTGATAAGGTCACTCAGTTAACCCATGAGAGATGAAGCAGTAGTGATCCTTTAGCCGTATTCCTGTGAATTCTTTTTCATTGCTTATCTTTATTATGTTATACTCACCTAGTAAAATGTAAAACCTTGTACATCATTGCATGACCTTAGAGAAGGCCTAGTCCATGAAGCTGAGATGTGCATTATTGTTCAGATGCTAGCTAGTGTCTTCTTGAGTTAAGGGTCGCTGGAACAGCAGTCCTTTCGTATTATTATTTTTAGGTCAGCATAGGACAGAAAAGCTTATATCACTGTAGTGTGATGAGATTTTAAGCCTGCATGTCAGAGGCTGTTATTACAGTGAAACAGAAGATTATAGAGTTATTACCAGTTTTTATCTGTTAGCATGCATGTTATAAGGTCCCATAAGAATTAAACTGTAGGGTTGCTGCCCATTATTTTTTTTTCTGTTTCCTGATTTGTGATGCAAGTTAGGATAAAGCTTCTTTCCCCTTGTTTTCACTGACTTTGCAGTTGAAGTGTCATATACTTTGTGTATTATTTTTCATTTGGGCCTGTATTAGACCCAGTATTAGACCAGTACTGAGTTAAACATTGAGAGAGTATGATCAAAGCTCTTTGGCATGAGTTCATGTAGTTCTTGCCTCGTGAGCTAATGGCAGGGGGCTTGGTGTTGGTGTAGATGAGCGTGGAACAGGCTAACTGAATGATAAAAGTGTGGATACCCTAAACTTGAGTTTTTCTATCTATTCCATTGAAAGTAGGTTCAGCTGCAGCCCGGAAAGAAATCATAAGAAACAAAATTCGAGCAATTGGCAAGATGGCAAGGGTCTTCTCTGTTCTCAGGTAATGATTTTCCTGATTTTTATTTATTTTGGAAATTACTTTTTTCACGATATTTAAGAGCAGAAGTGGCTTTGACAACTAGAATCAATGTACTGGATCCTTCCCAGATGAAAATTAGTTGCATACTTACTGTGTATTGAAGAACAAACTACATGATCAAAATATGACTGAGTTCATCCCATCTGAATTTCAGAATCATCTTAGGAACAGGTTTGAGGCCTTGAACACTAATGAGCGAAGACCAGATGAGTTGTAGGAGGATGTCAAATGTATCATCCAGGAAAGTGCAAACAGTCATTACAAAGACAGAAGAGAAAGAAAAGACCAAAATTGATGTCAGAAGAAACTCTGAAGATTGCACTGGAGCATAGAGAAGCCAAAGCAGAAGGAAGAATTCAAGATACTAAAGAGCTGAACAGAAGATTCCAAAAGGCAGCACGGGATGACAAAGCAAAATATCACAATGAAATGTGCAAGGAGCTAGAGTCGGAAAATCAAAAGGGCCGAACTCGTTCAGCATTTCTTAAGCTCAAGGAACTGAAGAACAAATTCACACCTCAAATTGCTATAATCAAGGATGCTTTAGGCAGACTATTAAATGATCCAGGAAGTATTAAAAGAAGATGGAAGGAATATACTGAGTCATTGTATCGAAAGGAATTGGCAGATACAGAAGAATTTAATGAAATAACATATGAGCAAGAGCCTATGGTTCCTTCATCACGGAAGAAGAAGTTCAAGCTGCTCTGAAGGAAATAACAAAAAATAAGGCCCCAGGGGAGCTCTGGTGGCCTAGTGGCAGGAAGCTGTACTGCAATCCCAGAGGTACATGGTTCAAATCCACCAGATGCTCTGCCAGAGAAGGAGGGAAAATTTCCCTCCTGCACCAGTCAGATCTGATTTGACGGTACACACACAATAAATAATAAAAAAAAAATTAAAAAATAAGGCCCCAGGAATAGATGGTATGCTAATTGACGTATTTCAGCTAACAGATGCTGCCCTGGATGTGCTCACCAAGTTGTGCCAAGAAATCTGGAGAATAACCACTTGGCCAACTGACTGGAAGGGATCTATATTTGTTCCCATTCCAAAGAATTCCCAACAGAGTGTGAAAACTACAGAACAATCTCATTGATTTCACATGCAAGCAAGATTCTACTGAAGATTATCCAAAAACAACTGGAACAGCACATCAGCAGAGAACTGCCAGAAGTCCAAGCCGTACTAGGGATATTGTAGCTGGTGTTAGATGGATCTTAGTTGAAAGCAGGGAATACCAGAAGAATGTCTATCTTTATTTCATTGATTATGCAAAGACGTTTGACTGAGTGGATCATAACAAACTATGGCTGACTCTGAGAAGAATGTGAATCTCAGAACATTTAATCGTCCCAATGCGAAACCTGTACTTGGGCCAAGAGGCAGTCGTCAGAACAGAGCAGTGTAACACTACATGGTTCAGAATTGGGAAGGGTGTATACCAGAATGTGTCCTATCTCCATACCTTTTCAACCTGTATGCAGAGCAAATTATCCAAGAGGCTGGGCTCTCTGAGGAGAAGTGTGGCATCAGGATTGGTGAAAGATCTATTAACAATCTGCGTTATGCAGATGACACAACCCTGCTTGCTGAAACTGAGGAGGACCTCATGCTCTTGCTGCAGAGGGCCAAAGACTGCAG